TGGCAGGTACTATAGGAATCACCCTGTAGGTATATATTTGGAACCCAGTTCATCCTGGTAATGCATTAAATTAATCTGTAGCTGCTTGGAGCTAATTTTTAATATTCCAGGGTTCTTTTATGTAATTGTGTAATTTCTATCGAAATCTTAGAGTTGCCCTAGAATTGGCACTCATAAGCAAACCAACATCTAAAGTAGCAGTCAAAATACATATATCCTATTCCAACCACCGTCTTGTCAACTCCAGCAGCTCCAGTCATCAAGTTCTTCAACCGTCTTCCGAAGTAAACTTAATGGTCAAATTACCAGAACGGGCTAGTTAACGTCACGACCCTGAGAGTAACTTCCGCGCATAGCCCTGGCGCCCTTATCTCATACATGCTCTACCATCAGTCGAGCACAAAAGGGTATCGGTTCAAATGTATCCGCCATTACATTAAGACAACAAAACCATTTTCATTTACCCGGTAGCACAATTCCACGGATAGTGGATTGTGTACTGGAATCGGGGGCTAAGTATACAGGATAATCTAAAGGATGAATTTATAATTTAAAAGAGGAGCAAAAGGAAGGATTCCTCATGGAACGTGCACCGTAATTGCGGAGAAAACTACAGATGAACAATGAACAATTTCAAAAATGCATGCCACTTTCCTTGCAGATGTACCTGAGGGCAAAAAATCAGTTTTACTTTAATTTTGGAAATTTATTTATATTTAATTATTTATTAATTTATTTATATTTAATTAATAGTACTCGGCAAAATAAGAAAAAATACAAATATTTATGCATGGTATGGTCTATAAAGGGCCCAATGTTTGTTATGCAGGGTGGTTTTCTCTCTTAAGTTTCAAAATGGATACATTATTTTTTAGAATTTCTACAAGAAACTGTCAGAACAATACCAAATATCATTCACGACACACAGACCAGGTCCCAACGACATCCGGGAAAGGAGAGAGCTTTTAAATAAAACAGTTAAGAGCCGATTTTGTCTAGGAGAGCTCAGATGAAAGACCGAAACTAATATCCCAACGTAAACTTCCAAAGCAGACCATCCCCAAGATTCCCCAACCAACCAACCGATTCATCCCTTACTATGAAAGAGAAAGTAAACACGGATGGTGAATGACTAAAAATGTAAGAGTGCTAGTTGTATCCGGGATCAAAAAGTTTTAGGTGTTGTATGTGCCAAATGCCATTAGATTTACCTTGGTTATCTTGTAGTTCAGCCAACTTTTTTTTGTATTTTGTATGGACTGATAAATTTTGGGGCAAATTTTGCCATGAAATACCCGTTAGCGTCACTTTAAACTATATTTATTGGGAGCAATAATTGGTCAATTACTAAATAAGCATGACGGGGTCGTAAATTATCTGTTTGTCGATTACGTTCTTGGTCAATTTCCAGACGGGTCAAAATGTGTAAGAGATTTTGATATTATATCTTCAACCGAGAGCTTACTCTTCATTTGGATTATTACCATATATTAAAAATTGTGCAACCACTTTCCTTCTTCAATATTTTTTACCAAGGATTTTGTTGTTGTGGTTCTGGTGGGGAATAAAATTACACATTTACCGTAATAATCTGTGACTACTAGGAGGTAGGTGTAGCCCTGACTCGAGCGGGGTAAGGGAGCTATGTAATCAAGACTGTTTATCTGCTAAGGACAGGATACTTCGGGTCCAGTTCCCATTAGACCAGCGGAAGATGTCTAATTCCTCCTGACATGACAATGTTTGACATATATTGCCACTTGTACTTCATGCTTGGCCAAAAATATTTGAAATGAGTCCTCCAGTGCGTTTTCAAGATGCCTAGATCACTGGAAGTAGGTTCATGACAACATTCATGTAGAATAGCGGACCGTTTGTGCTTGGGAACCACCAATTGCAAATAGTCGCTTTGAGAAGCTTCAGAGATACGACAACGTGTGTAGTTATACAAATTTTCGATTCTCCATGGGATATTTAGCAGGATTTTCATTAATAGAATTTTTAACTCGATGGTGCCACTTACCTGAAGTGTCAGATAATGGGTGTGTAGTGGATCGAATAGTATCCTTGATACTTGCTACCTTGATAATGCTACAAGCGAAGCGCCCATCTGGTCAATCCACTATGAAGATATTTTAGCCGGTGTAACCACAGAAGGGAATAGTATTGGGTAACTGCGGTGAACTCTACACCCTAGAGTTATAATTTCTCTACGGACCAAGTAACTACCAAACACTCGCGTTCTGTAGTGGAGGATGTTCACTATTGAGCAGTTAATGAGCGAGAAACATAGCAAACGACGCGTTCCCCCTGATCGGTATTTTGCGACAGAATTGCACATAGTTCATAAAAAGAGGTCTCTTTGCAGAATGAAAGGGTTATTGAAATCTGCACAATATAGGTTTGGCGCTGCAATAAGAAATTCCTTCAGTTTGTGACATGAATTTTCGCATTCAGGTGCCCATACACGTTTTTCCTTCTTTTTTTGTTAATTCCGAGGGAGGTCTTAACACAGTCAAAAAATGAGGGACGAATCGTCGGTTACAACTAACAGTTCCAGCAAACCGTCTAATTTCCGCGACATTCTGAATTTTCAAAATAACTTTCACCTTCGGATCTGGGAGCAACTCGTATTTGTCTATCATGTAACCCATATTTTAAGAAGTTCGAAGAAGGCGAACGACCCTTTCTAGGGGTTCAAGGTGTTGATTAAATTTCGAGGAAGCTGATAATATCGTCTAAATACACCAAAGGTTGAAAATCGCCACCTAACAGAGTATCAATAAGGCGTTGCCATATGTGGCTGAGCATTGATTAATCCAAATGGCATTCTACAAAACCCATACAAACCTCTACTAGGGATAGTGAAGGCTGTATACTCTCGAGAATATTCGGCAAGAGACACCTGCTATTAAGCAGGTTTTATATCGATCGAGCTAAGATATGCGTCGTGAAGTTGATCAAGGATGGTCGATACATAGAGTAAAGGGTAAGCGTCTTCTTTTGTTACCGCGTTCAGCTGTCGGTGGTCGACGCAGAATCCGTGGGTACTGGGTATGTACCACCTTTTTGTTTAACTAGACATACTGGAGGGGACAAGGTTTCAATAATGTTGTTCTTCAACATTTTTTTGAGCTCTTCATCTATGATTTGTTGCTTAAGTGGCAAAACTGGGTAGTAAACGCTACTTAATTGGCTTGGCTCCGGGAAGAAGTTCGATGTTATGTTCGGTGGAAACAGTAGAACCTACAATAGTTTTAGGGAAGATCTGCCGTTGTCCGACAGTTAATGAATGCTCACCTTTCACATTTTGCTCCATTTATGACAGTACACGTCACAGAGTGCGGAACCCAAGGTTTGAAAAGCCCAACCTGGTCCACTAACCTGGGTTCTAGATTCCTCAGAACCTAACAGTACAAGAATAGAATGGCCTAAGATGGAGATCTTCAGATAAGGTCTTTGGTCATCCGAAGCATGCTGATAACAAAATCTAGAAGTGCCTTAGCTGCGAAAGATTCATGTAGGGCGATGTAGAGATAATGGAGGAAGAAATCTGTAGACCAATCACTTCGTCGGCTGACAGTATCCCAAATTCACTGGGGACACGTTCTAACTGTAGTAGTCACTTCAAAAAGGTAGGGTAATTTCAGGAGAGATGGCTCGGGAGGTGAGATGGCTCAGTGAGTATTTCTGCCAAGAAAGGAACTGAATAGGAGGTTTGGCAACACTGACGCGTGCCTACTGTCACATAGCGAACTATCGCGAAGGCGCGTTTTATTGTGATTCTTGTTAGAGTGCAATATCGCGTTGTAAGCTGTTGCGGAATCGCAGAAAATTTATTTGAGTGCATTCGTCAAGTGTGAAAAAGGTAAGCAGTAAGGTTTTCTGTAATTGTGTGTACATTCCGCGGACCTATGAAGCTTCCTCCGTATTCCTAACCTAAAATAAAGGTGGTATACGTCTTTCGCTATAGAAACCGTTGCACGTCATTGATTTGTGTATCAATTTTAGACATATGCTGCAACACTGCAACATGTACAAAAAAAACAAGTGTGCGAAATCTATAGAAAACTGGTCTGAAATTGATTCATAAATCAATGACGTGCACCGGTTTTTATAGCGAAAGACGTATATTAGCATGCACTGTGTTGCAAATCACTGAGCCATCTCTCCTCCCAATGTAAGGTGAGTTGGCCCACTGTTTGAATGTAATTTTCGTATTTAGTAATCATTTTTGACGTCGTTACAGACAAAATGCCTACTGAGTACAAACGTAAAGGCAGCGTTGCTCGAGGAGAATGGTCAGAATAGGATTTATCTCTTGCAATGGAGGCCATACAACAGCGACGAATGGGCGTGAGGGAAGCCACTCGGACTTTTAAGGTACCATATTCGACACTACGACGCCGTCTTCGAAACAACAACAACAGAAAATCTAAATTGGGGCCACTGTCTACCCTGGGACCAGAAAATGAAAGCAAGATTGTAACACATATAAAAAAATTACAGAAATCCGGCTTTTCTCCAACAAGAACGATTGTACGCTCCATGGCTTTCGAACTTGCAGAAAAATTAAACCTTCCTCATAAATTCAACACTGAAAAACGCTTAGCAGGTTATCCATGGCTTCACTCCTTTCTGAGGCGAAATAAAGATCTGACCGTCAGGAAGTCGGAGGGGGTGTCTGCAGCGCGTTCACTAGGTATGAACAGGAATGACCTAGCTTCATATTTTACACTCCTGGAGAATACCCTTGTCGAATACAATTTGATCGACAAACCTAGTCGAATTTACAACGTCGATGAGACTGGTCTGCAGTTAAATAATAGACCCACCTCTGTTATTGCTGAAAAGGGATCAAAAAATGTGGCAGCAGTAACATCAGGAGAAAAGGGAGAAACTATAAGTGTAATCGCATGCTGCAATGCCGAAGGTTCGTTTATACCGCCAACTTGCATATTTAAAGGCAAGAATAAAAAATCAGAGTTTGAAGATGGAATGCCTCCCGGGTCCTTGGTTTTTATGTCCGAAAAGTCGGCTTATGTAAACAATGCCTTATTTCTAAGATGGCTCAAAGAGCAGTTCGTGCCAAGGAAGCCACCAGGTGATGTTGTTCTCATCCTCGATGGTCACTCATCGCACTGTAGCAGTGTGGAGACTTTGGCATATGCATCAGAAAATCAGATTGTTTTTATATGTCTACCCAGCCATACGACCCAATTCCTTCAACCCCTAGATAGGGGCGTTTTCAAATCACTAAAATCATTTTATTATGAAGCGTGCAATGCATTTATGCGAAGAAATCCGAATCGACGCATTAACAGGCTAGTGTTTGGGCAACTTTTGGCCTCAGCATAGGAAAAATCAGCGACTGTGAAAAATGCCGTCTCCTCTTTCAAGGCAACAGGAATTGTGCCTTTAGATCTCTCTGCAATTCCAGATTATGCCTATCTTGCCGATAACACACCAGAAAGCAACAACATTGATCTAAGCAGAACAGCAAATGACACTCCAGAAAATATAATTCGTGAAGAAAACGACGCAGTCTTAGAGAATTTGGATGAAACACAGGCACTAGAAATGGCAGAGGAAGAAACCCCAAGCAAAATGTTGGATAAAATTAATCCCGGGCCTGGAACGGAAGCTGTTGCATCTACTAGGAAAAGAGGCAAGCAACTGGCTTCTGTTTTGACCAGCGAGGAACAGATTGCGAATAAGAAAAGGAAATTGGAAGAGAAAATGCAGAAAGAGGCGAAAAAGAATGAGAGAATTAAAACCAAAAGCAATAAACGTCAGAAAATTACTAAGCAAGTAAAGCCTAGAAAAAGGCAATCCAGTTCGTCAGAAACGGAAGAAGAAATTATCTACGAAGATCCGTCGGATTACGAAGAGGATGATGCCCAATGTGTCAGTTGCGCGGAAGCATATTCTGTAACGTCAGAGTCAGAAGACTGGATTCAGTGCTTGCAGTGTAATATGTGGCTACACGAGGGGTGTACGAAATATGAAAATGTTTGTGATATTTGTGGCAAAAAGGTGTACCGCAAAAAGAAGTAATGAGTCTATGTTGTAATATCGCCACACTACTTTATTTCAGTGTTTTTCACCCGAGCCATCTCACCTAACGTGGTGGACCATCTCACCCATATTGTAAGGGAGAGATGGCTCAATCAAGTATTTTCTTTTTCTTGTCATTTTCTAAATAAAGTTTACGTTTTATTTCTGTATATGTTACTAACCTTAAGTTTCATTGTTTGTGATTGCGTTTACGAATATTTTCTCTGTTGTAACGCGAAATAAAAAAGTTACATTTTTTTTTAAAGTGGGCCATCTCTCCTACACCTTACCCTATCTATGAACATATAATTAAATATAAATGAATAAAGTGATGGTTTATTCTTTTTTAATTCGGGTTCGTGAAGAGTCACAGACTACACAAAGTAATCAGCTTGTACCATTCAAAGTTTGTATAACGTTGACTGAATATTACGGTGAAAATGTCGCTATGAAATATATATCTGCGCCACGAATATCCATCAGAAACCGATCCTCATTGTTAACTTAGTATTTTATGTATTAAATTTTAGTGCACGTTGGTAATATAGTTTGATTTGCCCCAGCGGCGGCGTACAATTAGTTATTAATACTCGAGAACTGAAATTATATTTAAACTGAGGCGCCCTAAATTTAGTTAATCGGCGAAGAAGAAGCCAAAATGCAGAGCCTTTAGCTATATGGAGGTACAATTGAAATCAATAATATGAGCAGCATTATTAATATTGCATCCATGTACGGGATTTGTATGAGGTATCTCAATCAGTTTATTGCCTATTACGTAACTAATATACAAAGTTAGGCTTAATATATACTGCAAATTTCAATAAAGGTGGCAAACCAACTGAATTACGCCACATCACAGAATGGCCACCGGTACCTTCAATATCTATTGGATATTTAATTACCTTGCGAAATTTCAAATATGGATGGGTAAATCCACTCTAAACCTGAATATTGTGTAATGCATTCTGTGTTAACAACAGCATTTACAGGTCACCGATACATTCATTTTCCTAAAAATGGCAGCGTATACACTTGATGGGGATGTTTTCAAATTAACAGCACGTAGTGAATATATTCAGTCGTACTTAGTTTTGAAAATACATACCTTTACTCGTTGGTGTTTCAGCATCTGAAAGGAAAACAATTATGTAATGATAAAGTTAGAAATTATAACTAGGAGAACCAAGGTAGGTAAACAATCAACGATAGGTATTAAACGTCGGATTTGTTACAATAGCATTCAAGATCCTATACGTTATGCTTACGTCAGAGGCATTTATAACGTTACGCTATTAAAATCACAAAAACTTTGATAACCACAATTCCAGAAAATATTTTGCTGCAAAAACAGGCATAATTTTAGTATTTTAAGTTTGATGTATGTGGGAAAGATTAATCACGCGGTAGAAGGTTTCGTCTTTGATTAAAGTAAATGCAGGCCGGATGGACGCGCAAAATGATTGATTGCGTTAATTGATGAAATTGAATGAAATCTGAAGATGCTATATTTTATTATCTTTTAAATTTCAGGGGTATTATTGTATAAAACTGTGTAGTGTAATAGAATTTAATCTGTTCATTAACAGAAAAATTGAAAAAATCGTGATTGTGCGTGTGTGTGTGTGTGTTTTATGGGAGTGGAACGCGATAAACGATTTATTAAATGGCGTAGTGAAGAAAGGAAGTCACGTCAGGTTATTCAGCTTTCCTAGTCGTGAATTAACGCGTGAAGATCTAAAATTTCCCGACAGAAAGTAGGCATGACCATTAAGGTTTCAGCACGATTTTGGATAAAAAAATATGTGGTCCGCTTCAATTGAGTTAACTGTTCATCTTCATGTAAAGCTGCTAACATTTTATTCGATGTTTAAATACGATCCTGAAATTAATAAAAATGGATAAAGGGCACCTTAATATTGAACGTTTTCAACCAGCGACTTGTTATAACTTTTCAACAATAAAATTTGCGTAAGAAGCCCTAAATTTTCCACAATCTTAATTAAAAGTTCACTTTATTTCGCCGAAATCTGGTGTTATGTTACTGATATTTCATCTTTCTTAAGTTAGTGAAACTGAAAAATTTTAAGTGACAGCTTTCTTTAGTCATAGGTGACATAATTTTTGTAAGAGGTTATGTTAACTACTTTAAAAATTGAAAACATACTGGATTTAACGTGTATATTGACAGTTAATGTAATAAAAGTAGTATAATAGTCCAAACTTGGATGCCTTAGGGAAGAAGAGGGGAAACCCGGGCACTTCCTGCATGTTTCATATACCAATTCGTTCGTATCGAACGCCTTTTTGATATCAACCCCCTTATACAGTCGAGAGGGGAAGGAATAACTCGCGCATCTTCAATAGATCGCCTCTTTGTTAGCGATCACCGATTAACTTGGAACGCCTTTAATATATCAGCATATTTTTGATTGTGATCCAGTCCGCCATATTGCTTCAATTTCTTTGGTGAAAATATAAAATGGATGGTGTCACTAACACAGAAAAAAAATGGACGTTTCGCCATTCTTGGACGAGGGAGAGTTTAAATAAGGTGCAATAATGCACGCAGTACAAAGAGTGAATTCAAAGGCCAGTAGTTGTCACTCCAAATTCTATGTCTATTAAATAAATTCTCCACTTTTGTTCCTTCTAGCACAGACAACATTGCCGGAGGATTATCATTATAATACCGATTTTTGATTTAGTGAAGAAATGACAGAGATCGAGTCCTCTAAAAAAGTTATGAAAATTAATTACACTCACGTTGAAATTCTTTTGTCATCTAAGTAATTAATAAGAAATCCTTACACGGAAAGTTCTATTTCGGATTTAATGGCGAGGAATATTAAAAGCAAGGCATCCAACTTAAAGTTTGTATTATGAAATTATACTACCGATGAGCTCCCGGTATAAATGGAGCATTTCCAATAATTGTGCATCCCTAAAACGCAGACAATGAAGAAAGGATGAATGATGAACAGAAACGAAATATGGGAGCTAAGAAGTTAAATATGCTTCATTAAATTCGCTTCCTTTGTGATGAGTCTCTCGTCTTAATTAAATTTGCGAGTATAAACAATCGTTGAGGTTTTATTTTTCCGGTAGAAGAAAGAAAAATAAAGAATAGCGTTGTACACGATATCAAAAATAAAACAAAATTCCAATGCTTTTATAAAGATGTTATCGAAGCGGTGTTAATGTACGTTTATTATTTAGAAAACCTATAATTTTAAAGACGTTAACGCACGCGAAATTAGTACTTTTATGTGAAAAATTAATTTGTCGGCGTCCGCCGCTGTAGATTTTATTTCGTGATTTAGATAAGCGGCGGTTCTTACGCATTTGCTGTGCCGTAGTGAACTGAGCCTAATTTTGGGGTTGATAAAGGTAAAATTATAATAATTATATACACAGAGATTCTTTTAAGAGAACACATACGTGCAATTCCCTTGTGAATCTTTTTTTTACAACCCCAACATTATATCCTATATTGTTTTGTAAACTACATGGGGGTGTCGTTTCTCTAGGTTGAAACAATGACTAAGATTAGCGCGAGTCAGTATTGGAAATGGTAAGTAAACCTTGGAATTTAGGCGGTAATGGCTTAATTCATTTAATTCTAGGTCGTGTATAGTTTGTAGATAAATTAAAAACGCATAAATAAGGGAACATTTAGTCGTAATGCTAACAGTTTGTTACGTTCACTTTGGGCCAACGTGACAAAATTACCTTAGATAAGCACACGGTAAGCTCAGGCAAAGTAGAGGTGGGTCGGGGTGAAAATGGGGTTCTTCTATACACACACAAATAATCCAAAAAGGGAAGGAAACAGTAAAAGTAATCCGGATAGGCGCCACCTTAGTCTTTGATGAATTTAGAGAGAGAGGAATACTAAAGGGGATGGACAAGGCAGACCAAGAGATCCTTGTTCTCGTCTTATTAAACTCAAAGGAATACACAATTATGGGGAAAACAAACAGTATTTGATGTATAAATGCGGGTAGTTTAATAACAAAGATCTCAAAATATCACAAATCTTACACTGTAATATATCGATCTAGTATATCAAACTGGGAATTTAAAATAATCTCTAATAAAACAAATGAGAAGCCAACACGTAGCCTGGGAAAATATTTATCCAAAAGGGCTTCCGCAGAAACAACGGAGCTATAATCATTAAGTGACTTTCAAACAAAGTAATAATCACAACTCGTTAGTATCAACAACCAAAATGTAATCAAACGTTAAAAGGGAAAAAAACGACGAAAATAACTAAATTTACCTTGAACTCCGGTCGCAACCTTCCGAGCTCAGAGGACGCGAAACTGCAAATCTGAAACAGTCAGACACAAAAACAAAAAAATATAAGAAGGGTAGTGATTCGCGTTGCATAATATATCGCATAAGCAATGGTTAACGTAAGACACGAATGGTTATTCTTGTACGTAGAATTGCAATCAATACTAAAAAGAATCAAAAATTCAAATGACTTTACAACAAAACAAAATTGGGTTCGACTAAGGGTTGGTTTTCACAATCGGTATGAGATCTAAAAAAGTGACAAAGTTTTAAGAGAAAAATACTAAAAAATGTACAAATAAAATAACTGAATCTATCTTCAATGACAAAGCAATCTTATCAATTCAAAAGAAATTACACGAGCAAGTTCTTCAAAGTAAAATACATAACGTTAATTAAAAATTTACACAGTACTAACTCCACACGTCTCGTTAATTAAGTACTTGCGTTTCGGAGGAATGAATCGTAGGTCAACGAACTTCGTAAAATTGGGTCAGCAGTTCAAATATCGGTTTCACATGAAATGGCGGTGATTCTTCCGTCAATTCTTCAGTCGGTAAGGGAGAAATATGTAGAGCGTTTTTGATTGTAATGGCGTCGAAACTTCAATGGAATTCTATTGCACCATATGGAAAATCGGGTATTCGCGTTTCCACACGTCAAAATATCAATATGCAGTCAGAAAGCAATTGGTAAAA